ATGTTATCATAATTAAAAAAAAGAAACAAACATGTCTGTATTGGCAAAAGCATCATTTCTTTTTTTTAATACAATTTGGCCTTGTAAAAAATCAAAACAACACTTTATAAATTATATGCGTCCAAAAAGCTTTTTGGATTTACATTCATCAGGAACGTTCAAAGCCGATTATTTGTAAGCCAGGATGTATAAAAACCCAAATAGTTGAAGAGCTATATGACAAAAAAGGTGTAAGATTCTTATTTCCTTTCTCAAGACCTTGCATATGTCACTTGCCAAAAGCAAAATCAAAATGCTTTATAACTACCTTATCCCATTTCACTCTTAAAGTGCAAATTGCCTCTTTTTTTTTTTTTTTTAGAGTTATTTGAAATGACTAGAAACTTTTCTCTTATGGTTTTGGCCTATTATCTATTTCTTGCATGACGATAAATTTCTCGTATTACACTACACGGAGTGTGATACGAAAAAGTGATACGAAAATTGCGTTAATTTGATTGGCTTATCCAGCATCATGAGACGATACAACGACATATCCGTTGGCTATTCGTTAAGTCATTGATATATCTCAAAGGGTACGACGAAGTACATTTGGTCCATGGCACCGGACATAAAGGATTTCTTCAATGATACACAAAACACTCACACTTTAGACCTGACAATCGTCTTTTTGTCATATGTCATTACATTCTGAAGCGTACACACAGTTTTAAAATGTCTGATGTTAAAATTTGACGCTTGAACAGAACATATGACGCCATACTGGTATGTGCAAAAAACTAGATCAAGGATTGTCAGAAATTTTAATTTAACACAATGAGAGTGTTGAACATAAGAGAAATATGTTTAACATCTCGTGGGAATTGGATATCAAAATAAAGAACACATACATTTTGCATTGCAATTAAAATTCCGAAAAATATATTTAGTACTTTAAATCTAATTTAAATTGTAATAATAATCTCGCCAAAGGCTCGTTTATTATTATATTGAAATTATATAACTTGTTTTGATATGAAGCGATATACAATTTTTACTTGTTATGAACCTATGATTTCGACATACCATTTACCGATTGAGTACAATGTTAGGGACAAACTAATCCCTCAAATCTAAAGTATTTTTCAGTATTTCGATTTTGTACTATTTGTTTTTGTTGTCTCCAAATGATATATGGGTATTGTAGGACTACCTACTTTTGCGCCTATCTTTTACGTTTAAAAAATTTCCAACAGACATCCCAGTGATTTATGAATGAAATTTTAAAAGTATGTTCATGTGTAAAAAATGTTGATACTTTTGCCGAATATTTCACGTTATTTTCCTACTCGCGAAATAAGCGTAAATAAATCCTTTTGGAAAATTAGTATATGGCACAAAAAGGTTTGTTGCTAAAAAGTGTATGCGTTATAAACATGTGTTACCATACTTTCGCAAATAAGTAGTCACGACCTTTACATTAAGAAGTTATAGGTTAATATTTGGCTCTGAGCGTTCCTGGTAAAGGTAAATCAAGAAAAGCGCTTCAGAAGCATGAAATTTATATAACGTGTTGTTTTCAATTTTTTTAATGTTGAGAAAATACAACCGTTGAATATCATGTTTTACAGATGATGGCAAAAAAATAGAAACAAACTGTTCTGAGATTCCTTTAACATGGATCCAATCACTTCATAATTGCTTAGAATCAGGTGCAAACTTCAAAATATCAAATAAGTCTGGTGAAAGTTGTAGTATAGAATCGGGAGCAGTCAATATGAATCACTCGCTATACAACTTTGTAAAGTTGTCGTTTGTGTGGAACACAAGTAAGATTTGTATTGAATGCAACACAATGTATAATGAATGTATTAAAAATATTGTATGAAGCATTTATTCAAGCATCATAAGAATCAGGTGCAAACTTCAAAATATCATAAGAAAAGCGTCCTTATGACCACATTAAGGGTTAGTTACTTCACCAAGTACAACAACAAACAAGCAAAACACAATTGTAAATGGTACATTTAACGTATAAAAAAATATCAATTAATTTCCTAACTTGTATCATTGTGTGGCAACATTTATAATCATGCACAAAAAACTACAGCGTTTAGTCTTAATAGGTAATTACTATCATTAATGTTTTGGATCTCATCGGTGACTTCAATTAAATAACAACTAACATACAAATGAATAAATTCGAATGAAAATAAAAAACAATTCATTCTTCTTTAATTCAAAGGTATAAACTCACGCATATTTCAAAATCAAATGATCGTCTCCATTGTGTTCAATGTTTTCAAATTTAAAGTAACTTCACTCTAAACCAACAAATTACTCATTCAATATTGTATTTCATGAATATTAATATCTAACTTAGCGCAAATTCTAAATTTTACTGCATATTGATTTGCTTATATAATTTCTGTTATAATGAGTATTTGAAATGGCTTCAACGGAGGTAAACAATGTAAACTGTGCACTGAATTATAGTTTTCACTTGAGATGTACATAACATCAAAATGTATGGTCTTTACGGTTTTATGCAGAACCTAATACAAAAGATGACTACAAATGTCTAGGTGTTCGATTAGAAGAGAATAAAGTTTTTAAACTACTCCCTTTTAACTGCACTGAAAAGCGAAAAGTCTTATGTCACAAGGTGTTGGATGAAGGTAAATGTCAAATATTATATTCGAATCTATATTCAGAAAACTGAATCATACGACAATCTGTCATATGGGTTTGGATCAATATATGTTTTAAATATTACGGATTTGTTTTAAAAAACAGAAGCATACAATAAACAACCCTATATCACAGGATACTGGATGAAGGTGTGTATGCCAGATCTGTTTTTCCTCACAAAAACATATCAACAGATATTATTTTTGTGCAATTAAGATGCAATATGAAACGATTTGTCTTCTTTATATATTATGACATACTTTTATATTAAAAATTAAATATTTGGTTCTAGCAAGATAATAACCTGAAAATATTTGAGACCAGGTTGACTCATTTCATAGCATTATAATAAATGCATTGTATTCTATTTAGCACAAAAATATTTCGTTATCAAAAAGCAGCAACTTCTTTAAATGTCTAATTAAAAAAAAAAGTAATGTAATCTGTCCTGTATGCGGTATCACTGACATATCATAACTCATCTTGGAGTAGCGTCTGATCATATATGAAGCCTTTATATTCACTTTTTATCTGAGAAACGTGTTTATTAAAACAAAGTTGAAATAAAATATACTATTATACATGTTATTAGAAAGGATCATGTGTTAACTGTCACTACAACATCATACCACCGTTATTACACAATCTGCAGTATAGATAAGATAGTGCCGTGATGGATTGCAATTATTTCAATGTTTAAAAAAGGACCAAACAATTGTTTTTATTTTTTCAATTGATATTCGTTTTTCTGTTTACAATCATCAAAGATACTTAGCTTATCATGTAATACACCAGGCGCCTATTTTTTTCCAAATTTGCTTCGGATCACATCAGATGGTACGCCAACTGTAATTCATCCTCGATATTTGTGAAATTTATAAATAATTACATGTCAAGTTATTACTTAGAGTGCAATGATTTTTTTTTTTCAAAATGGTGTACTGTTTATGTATTTTTCATACAAAGTGGGATATATAAGGACAGTAGTTGTTAGTTTTTATGGTGATTGCATTTGTAATCTGATGGTATTACCTACATCTTTGTTCTTAAATACAATTCTTAACTCTATTGACTGCTAAACTAGTCACTCAGTTTAATTGAGATCTGGAGCTGGCATGTCAGTAACTGCTAGTAGTCTGTTGTTATTAATGTATTATTGTCATTTTGTTTATTTTCTTTTGTTTCCTATTCTGACATCGGACTCGGACTTCTCTTAAACTGAGTTTTACTGTGCGTACTGTTTTACGTTTGTTTTTTCTACATTGGCTAGAGGTATAGGGGGAGGGTTGAGATCTCAAAAACATGTTTAACCCCGCCGCATTTTTGCGCCTGTCCCAAGTCAGGAGCCTCTGGCCTTTGTTAGTCTTGTATCATTTTTAATTTTAGTTTCTTGTGTATAATTTGGAGTTTAGTATGACGTCCATTATCACTGACCTAGTATACATATTTGTTTAGGGGCCAGCTGAAGAACGCTTCCGGGTGCGGGAGTTTCTCACTGTATTGAAGACCCATTGGTGGCCTTCGGCTGTTGTCTGCTCTATAGTCGGGTTGTTGTCTCTTTGACACATTCCCCATTTCCATTCTCAATTTTACTAGTGTAAAAAGAGGTATAACAATCAGCTAAAAAAACAGACAACAAACAAAAAACAACAGAAAAAATACCCCAAAAAACACAAAACGAAAGAATAATAGTAGTTATTTAAACACTAGACAAAAACAAAGATTTATAACGTCTACCATAATGTATAATGTTGTGAAATCATGCTTTTTTTAAAAGGTCTCATATAAGTACATGTTGGATACAAAATGTCAATAACGGTCAACCGAAATATGATAGCGTCGAACAAACTTTAATCACAGAATATTACAATTACATGTAGCCTTTCTTGAATTTTAGGTAATTGAGTGTTTTAACAAGCACTTTGATTACTGTTACGCTTGAACTTAAACACCATATATGCTCTTTCCCCCCAAACTATTTACTTTAAAAATGAAGCTTCTTACAATGTTAAAATAAAAAAAAAATCCATCTTTATTTATTAACTATTTTGTCATAATAAAACATAATAATTTCAAATCATTATTAAGGCAGTTCATTTAAATCCAGATAAGCGCTTCGGCCGCATGACATTCATAACGTGTTGTTTTCATTTTGTTAAGGTATTATAAGTAAGACGAACAAGTGCTTGTACAAGAAACGTATATATAGCATTTTATGAATATCAAATTGGATCGTGATAGTTATTTTGTTATTTCCTTCCCGATCGGATGTCAGAAAAGTACATGTTTATGAATCTTATAGTGTGTATCTTCTCAAGCATATGTATAAGTGTAACTGTACATATAGTTATGTATTGTGTCATACGTATATTTGTTTTGGGAAATTTTATATCAAAAACATATCCATCTGCATGTAAGTTTTTAATTTGGTTAATATTCTTTTGTTTAAAGTCGTTCAGCTGCAATTGTACGTCAGATTCGCGTTTTGTCGTCCTAATACACGCTCGAATCAAAAGAGTTAAAGGTCAAATAAAGTATGGAATTGAATAGCATTGAGGGGCAAAAAACTACGAAAGGTTTTTCCAATAACAACAACGGTAATCTTTACAACGGGCTCATGTATTGTCTCATATCTATTTTGTTAAACTCAATGTGAACAATTTCAATATCGTGTCAAATATTTCAATTTCGACCAATTCATATAATAAGAGGGACATGACCAGTGACCTTTAGTCAGTAATAATATTAATAAGTATCCAAATTAAATCTGCTAGTGTATTACTAACATTAACATACTTTTGAAAATCTTGACTAACTTGAAATGTCAAGGTCGAGTCATATGTTTCATCATACCATGCACAAGGAAATATGTTCCGCTTACATTGAGATTCAACAGGATATTTAAAAGGGATATCGATAGGGGAATTGACATCATACCATATTCTTCATATTAAACATGAATACCAATCTATGTTGTGATTGGTATTATTTGTTTGGTATCTCTTTTTTTATGATTAGGTGTTTTCAAACATGTAAAAAGCAAATGCCCATTGATAAAAAATAAATAACAGGTTTTATCAATGTAGAACTTGTTATGAAAATCAAAAGGGATAACGGAAATCTTAAGTTGGAAGAGTACAGAAAATACATTCCCAGTAGTAAAAGAAGATAAGAAAAACAAACGTTTATCATATATAAAATAAGGTTGTTCACAGCAACCAACAATCAATCAATTAAACACACCACTTAAAATGCCAAAGTTATCTCACGTTATGTAAAGCTAAAAAGCTACAAGGAATCAACAACTCTTGCTCAATTGCTGACAGCCACGTGTTGTTCTATGGTAAATACAACTCAGGCAATGACTTATGGCGATAGAAATTTACCGATGTGTAAATCACTAAAATTATGTAAGACGAAACAAATAAACTAACAAACAAAAACGAAGGAAATAGTATAAACTATGTAAGACGTGAGACCGGCTGAGTCGACAGATTTAACGTCGTCTGCTGTGCATGCATCGCTCAACATGTGAATCCGTATTCAGTCAAAACGTCATAATTATGATAGCAGACTATTGTTTATAGTACAGATTAAACGCCTATACTGGTCTCGTAAGTTTTAAACGCTGTCTCTAGTCATTTCAGACACTGGCCTAGCGTATCAGTCATATGTTGTGTCAATTGCAGTCGTTTTTTCCTCATAACAGTATGAAAGTATTCGTTCTAGTCATGAAATTGGAAAAGAAGACCACAAAAATAGAATATAACAGTTTACCAAGTAACATAACCAAAATGACGGCGTCCATACTATTCTTATCCAAGAAACTTGTTCAAACCAGTGAACTATCTTGGAAGTTGTCCTTCGATGTGCACTATTTCTATGTGATGATTGTATTAATGTGACTTTGAAATGACGACAAACCGTTGTGGCATTGAAAATTATTTCCTATAGATATAAAAATAAAGAGATCTGCTATACATGCTATAGTAGCCAATGAGAATAACATGAATTAAAGCAACTATTGGTCGTTGTTAGACCCTCAACAATGAGCGAAGCTCATACCGTATAGTCAGCTATAGAAAACCTAAGATCACAAAATATGGCAAAATTCGATCTAAAAGACAATCAGCCTTATTCATGTTATGTATGACGAATCAATACACAAAAACAGATATCATAGACCATAACTAACTACTGCGGTTGAATTATGGGATCCCGAACTGGGACAAGCACATACAAAATCTGGCGGGGTAAAACATATTTATGGGTACTCAATCATCTTCTAACATGGAACAAATATGTAGCAGGGCAAAATAAAAACAAAAGTGTAGGAATCAATTGAAAATAGTTTTACTCATCAGATCGACACAACACACAACAAAAATGACTTAAGCGAAGCCAAAATGCACATAGTACCAGTAGTGTACGATCGTAACTACTCCCAGCTATGTAAAAAGCCAGTACCAACTAATGAATAAATCAAGATCTTCCAGACTTATTTCATTGAAACAGATTAAGCAGTTGTCTGTATCTATAATTTGTCTACTCTACTGTTAATTAGTCAAAAGACAAAAATGTATTATTAATGTTAACATGTAATTGTTATTTTTGTTTACTGACTTGCAGATTTTTATGTGAGTGACGCCAACAATACTTGGGTTAAGGCTGCCAATAACTGTATAGACGGCTGGAAATTGTCTGGGAAAGACTTATTCAATTCTTGTCGTTCAGATACGTGTAATTCTAGTAAGGCCAATGATGTTTTGCGAAATGTAAAAATCAAACCGCCCTTTCTTTGGATAGATGGCTACGCAGTACGATCACCTATAATGGAATATTACGGTAAAAGAATAATTGACTAATTTGTTAAATGCATAGCATTGTTTGATACGTGACCATAAGAAAATTATAATCATGTTTGCTTTTCAAACTTTCTTCTAAGATTGTAATAAGTGCGACTAGTCCCTATGCCAAGTCAGGATATGACAGTTGTTAACAATTCGTGTTTCGATATGGGCAAGCGTTTGTTTTTTGTTATGGATTTTAAAAGAGTCAATAAAGCATACAAAAACGACAAAGACTTTTGTCTGTTATATCAGTTTACCAACGAAAAAATCACCTGTGTAAAAAAAATGCTCGCAAATAAAATTATTGCATTAACTTATTCATTTATTTTGTTTCTTTATTTGTAATTGTTTCCATCTGATTTGTGTTATCAATTTTTGCTAGAGTGTATAAGTTTAACCGACGTCAACAGTACAGCAAATGCATTAACGAAAAAGAAAAAACTTGTGAATAATGGTGTTGGAAAGTGTGCATTATTTTGTATTCAAGATGGATACTTAAAGAATGAAGACTTCATTTTACTACAGGTATTTGCAATCAAATACTGTTTTTACTTGGAACATCTGCTTGCCTGATATCTGCAATTGCATATTTTAATATATTTCCAACAATTCAATTATTTTCAAAGGAATCTAGAATTAAGTCTGTTTTCGAAGATTAAGATTTTTAAATTGTTGGAAATAATTGACTAATTTCGTTTTGATGTACCAACTGAATAAATGATTTTGTATGAACATGAACTAAATAATGTTTATATTCAGATATTTTATTATTTGAACGTTCAGTATCGAAGGTAAAATCCAACATTTTGCACAATCTCAAGAAGACTTTACTTTTTATGTGTTTAATAAAAAAAATAGTGTTTAATATGTAATATTTAAAATAAATTTCGTTATGTATGTGATTAGTGGCAGTGCCATCAGTTTTTTATACACCTTATGCTAAATGGTTCTAGCGAATGAGCCTTTTATAGGAATCCCTAAAATGCATTTTGACAAATATAAACACAATCATGTTAGTCAAAGAGAGGCGAATGATACCAGACGGACATTAAAAGGTGGTGTCCATAGCATATTTATAACATTTATTTTTGAAGTTTCGAGTATGAATAGTTTTCTTTCTCGAAGGTGGTTTTGTCTTATCAACGGGTTTGATTCGAGCGCCACTGAAAATTTGTTTTGCGTACCAAATTAAAAGTGAGGTATCTTTCAGTATGTGAAAAACAAGCTTCCAATATTGTGTAAATGATTTACCAAATAGAGTATTGTAAATTTGGTAATATTTAAGTAATTGTATATTGTCCATAATATTCTTTCAGGAATAATTAAGTGTCAAAGATCACATTGATCATACACATTATGTACTATTTACAAGTCAATCCGCTAAGATACACATTTTTAAAAAGGTATATACATGTATGAATAAACAAATCAATCATAATAAACGCATATATTTTTCAATGCATTTGAAATTCCTAAAAAATATATTTAGTACTTAAGATATTATTTTAGCAAAGTGTGTGGTCTGTAAAATTCAAAAAGCAGATGACCGCCTAAAACCAAACTCTAACACATTGTTACATTTGATTGAATAAAAAGTATATAGCTAGATATTGTTTTACAGTTCAGTAAAAATATGACTGCATGTATAATCAGAAGGATACTATAATATCTTAGTTCAGACGCCATTATTAGTAGATATGCCTATTTACATTTTTTTTCTATTGCGGAAAAACATCAATAAAAATATTAAAACAGTACAGTCTTTAAAAATCGTCTTCTCTTTTTTTCATATATTCAACAAAAACATAGCGATGAAATTTGAAATTGACAATGGTATGAACTAAATAACAGACTCATTTTACAAAAACTCTTAAGAGTAAAAATACTCGTTAGTCATACACATTTCAGTATAACTAACGAACAATTTTAATCGTTAGATGTTTTGTGAAAAGAATAGCTGCAGCTTAGAAAATATTTTATTTTACCATCCCCAATAATAATGTAACGTTAATAACTGTAAACGATAAAAGCCACTAACCCCTTATATTTTCTCATTTAATTACTGCAGTTTCATGTTTTTTTTAACAATTTTGTCTTAACATTACTTTGATTGCTTAAGGTCCGAACTGGTTCCAGGAAGTTCGGTGTAACAAAAGCAGGAAATATTGATCTGAGCAACATACAATGTATTGATCACATCTCAATTCAAACAACCTGCTAACATAAGCTTCGATGTATAAATTTGACACTGCTTTAAGATAACATCCACATGTATTGGGAATGCGTAAAAACGGAAATAATTATACCCTTACAGTTTTTAATATATTCCCTTTGAAAGTTAAAGTAATAGAATATCTTATCTCAGAAGACAAATATCGAACAATTTACAATTCGTGATCGAACAACATTTAAATCAAAAGAATCTGGATACTATATTTGTATAAATTGTGTCTTTATGACTATAATATCTTATCGATTTAAAGTATTACATAATGAAATTCGTTATTTTATTTATGAATTGGTGTTTTTACTGATTCAGCAATACATGTACATAATATACTAGTCAACAAAAGAAACGATACACAAGTTTGAACTCCAATTTGTCATAAAATATAATAAATAGGAAACATTGTTAAATTATCAAATGAAAAACATTCATTTACAAAGCAACTGCATATGATTAAAATGATCTGACAAAATTTGAAAGTTAGAAAATACCGTGTTATTGAACACAGGAGTAAAATTCAATTTTGCGGAAAAGGATGACAAAAGTCGGCACACAATTTCGAAGATGAGAATTAAGTATTCAAATATCTGCAAAGGCATTCAAAATTTTGAGCAGACCATGTTTAAGATTTAGATTTTAAGTTGTAATACCGATTTTCTATTTTTTTTTTTTTTTTTTATAAAATACGATTTTTGTAATAACAAAAAATTAAAACAAATAATTTCGCGTTTTTGCCTTAAATTAAATGGTTGAATAGGAAAATAACACTCTGTAAAAATAAGACCAATTGGGCAATTATTGACCTTAGTACAGTGTATTCAATTTCATTATATATTGAAAATATATCGTTTCTTATGTTGACTAGTAAATATTATTATATAAATCGTCTCCCTTTCTAAACATTAATTGATCAAATGAATAATCCTTTTATTTCTTTGAATAAATGCCACAAATCAGAATCTTAGTCAATAGTGATGATTTAAATTGTCCAATTGTCATTTTGTTTTCAACCGTAACATAAACTATTCTCCATCGTATTGTGTTTGCATATCTCAGTTAAAATGTTACCCTCGTGCAATGTTAGCAAGAAGAACGACGGAAATCCTCAGTCCGTAGGACTACATAATACCAATATGATGTGCTGTCTCAACTTACTATCAACATGATTTCGTGGTCTAATATCGATCTTCACATATCAGTATAGCCGTATTATTGTGTCTGCTTGTGTGACATGTTGACTGAATGTGAATCTCTATTGATGGGTGATGCAGACATAGCATGAAAAGCCTGCCCTGTCGAAACACAGTGTCTCGTTCCTGTAAGAATACATCCGAGTCCCTCTGTTGTTTGTTTCCTGTGTTTATCTCTTCTTAATCATCTAAGATATTTAAAAACAATGGAAAACTGTCGTATAATTTGTCTACATTGGTTTAGTACTTATAATCTAAAAATTGAATATCACTTATACTTTTAACACTGATTATTACCTGATCACACTTTTCATTTTGGGAGCTACCTTAGACGAACAAATTGAATCTGTACTAGTCCCAGGTATCGACTGTCTTAATTTCATATACCATAAAACCGATTTTCATTCGATGTATCGTGCACATTTTACGCTTAATTTCGTTGTAGTCAAAAGAATTGAAGATATGTCAAATATTTTAAAACATAATAATATGTCTTTTTATAAATTTAGTGTTGGATTATAAAATAATTTGTTTAAAATGGAACGTGAATCTATTATAATGTTTGAATGGCTAGATCGTTAACGAACACCCCAGATCTTCTAATTTGTATGTTGATAACAAAAATATGAATTGAACAAAAACCGACAACACAAAGACCGAGGAGAAAACAAAATTGGATAGAAAAAAAAAAACAACAGTCACATTATCATGATTAAACTAAATAATTTACAAAACAAACTTCCACATCTTTTTTTTTTATTTCTTTAAAAAGCAATCTTATATTTGTTGTATACTGATGAAAATATGTAGTCGGAAATATTACAAAATTAATGTGATCATTTATTTCTGGACGGTCATTCAAATTATAATAGAATAAAATTTCGAACGGATTACTTTCCTTTTTGACGTTTAGTTTAGTTTGATAATAGTTTTCTTGATTTACAAATGTGAGTATAGAAATTGTGCTATAGTTGATGAATATGTAGTTACAATTTAATGTATTTGATTTCACACAGAGTGATACTTGCTACTGTTTACCGCTTGCAACAGAACAACTGTGGAAGGCACAAATCATGAAAATGCAGATGATTTCTACCAAAACCTGCAATATACGATGTGACGAAGACAAGTTTGACAGATGTGGTGGCAAAAATGATATTTTTTCAGCGTATAAGCTTAAAGAGATAGGATTACCGATGAGTAAGTTTTCTTTTTTACAATTTTTTCTCATATCGAAACATGACAAAAATAACAGTACACTTATTACTAATATTGAATTGATTTTGATTCGTTGGATCATTTCTAACTCATATCATTGATGATGTTAACCTCATAAACATAATAGCGATGAATTAAAGCATTTTGTCTGAAATGTCAAGTCATTCATATTATTTTGTAATATATGTCGAGTGTTTTTGCAAACACAGTTCTTGTACATGTCGTAATGCTCATTGTATCATTTGATTTCTAATTCCTGCATTAACAGTTTTTTTTTTATTTAAAGTTCACTTCAAGCTAAGTCTGTAAAACCATATTACTATTCCGGAAAATAAAAAAGAAACATCGCAATTATGTATCGTCCTGATGTGTACAAGAGTTATTCATCGGTATTAAATATCAACTTTTCCAAAGTTTAAACTCTTGTAATCCTTAGATATTATTAAATGGCAGCGACAATATCTAGCTATTCGAAACCAAAAACTAATTATTTAAAACCAGAAACTACGAAAATCCATTTATTAACAATATAAATCGTACTTATGATATAGTATATTGTAAACAGGTGTGTGAAAAAGCTCATAATGCAATTGAAATCAAGCACATGTAAGCTTTGAATAAACATAATATGTGTCCCTCTCGCATTCAATTACATACGGAATTAGACTTATTACCGGGTTTGTACTACCATAAGCAACACGACGGGTGTCACACTTGGAGCAGGATTATATTATCCTTCTGGAGCAGCTGAAATCACTCCAATCTCTTTAAAGGATTTTTGTTGCTCAGTGTTTAGTTTTCTATGTTGTGTTTTGTGTTTAATTGTTTTCCAAATGATGCGCAAAGGATTTTAAAAAAATAAAAAAACGATGAAAAAAATAGATAAACAATTGCAGGTGACGAATTTGGAGGAAATTGTTTTTATACGTATGGCACTAGTAAAGCTGTAAAACGTAGTAGTTGTAAAGAAACATTCAAGGTTAAGTGTGAAGAGGTCATACACACAGGTAAATGTCGCTTAATAATTAAATATTATTTCTTGGAATTATGTATTCAAATATCGTAAGTGATATTAAAAATATAGTGACATAATCATATCCCAATGCCTAAAATTGTGAAGCTATTTGCACAAGTAATCATGTCAATCAATGATACATTTCAATATAATGCTTTCTGGATGGTAGAGTCCAGCATTTTTAAAGTTGCGAATGCCAGTGCTGGCAATATGAATAAATACATGTACACACTGCCGTCCTGTCTGTTTTTGGTGATCTTAAGCACATATACTAAGAAAAACCTTTGATTCTTGGTGCACGCACATGATTCCATACTTCTACTCGAGGCCGGAGCGGTGTCAAACTATTTATATAGGTTTTAAAAAATGAGACAGGTCAGCATGACTGTGTAAACGTTGTTATCAAAGGTACCAGGCTTATAATTTGATATGCAAGACGCGCATTTCGTCTACATAAGACTCATCAGTGAAGCTCAGATCAAAATAGATAGAAAGCCAAACAAGTATAAAGTTGAAGAGCATTGAGGATCCAAAATTAGTAAATAGTAACTACGTCTACCTTCAACAGTGCAAAGTTCATAACCGCTGAAATACATATCGTTCTTTTGTCATATATATGTTATAGATATAAGAAGATGTGGTATGAGTGCCAATGAGACAACTCTCCATCCAAGTCAAAATTTATAAAAAGTAAACCATTATCATATGTTATGCCTTTTAAATTTTTATTAATCATCTACTCTTATAAATCTACGTGATAATTGTCCGCAAAAAGTAATAGTAGTTTGCGAAATTTTGTATTTTCATTCTGATATTTTGAGTTGAATATAGCATGATGATTAAATAATGCATACAATTTTGTAATCTTTTGTTGTTTGCCAAAAAGAAGAACAATCCTCCCGTTCTTGTTATCTTTAAAAATGAATCTGTCTCTCTCTCTCTCTCTCTTCATGACATATTGTTTACTTTGTTATTGTTAGCATGGTTAGTAATTGCAATTGTATATGATGAAGAATCATAATAGGATATTTCTGTAAAATCATGAATTGTATCAAAGATGTATGCTGCTTAGAAATAACCATTCAGTAAACGCTTTGTAGAGGTATAAAATACAACATTTTGAATACGCCATTTTGATATATCTTACGTTCTTCTCTATAACAAATGACCACGAATATATTTAGATATCGTAATTATTGTACACAAATCCCGTCCCCTATGTTTATCGATTGGGAATACTCTAGAAAAAGGTACTAATCCCCGGTAAAACAAAGTAACGTTTCTTTGTTGACTTATTTGTTTGTTTTATAGTGATTAGGCCTATAAAACGATGTTGACTGCTGTACGCCTATTCTATTTTACCTACTATTTCAGTTTGTTTTGTTAACACATTGTTGTCAATTTAATGGAATTGTATGGGCTGTCATACAAGTGAGGGATTTGGCTAGTTATAAAACCTGGTTCAGTCCATCATTTTTTACATGTACATAAGAAAATGCTTGAACCAAGTCAAGAATATGACAGTTGTTATCCATTCGTCAAAGGTGTTTGAGCTTTCGAATACGGACTTTTCGTTTTGAATTGTCCTCGGAGTTTAGTATTTTTGTTCTTATACTTTTTAAACCACAAAGACAAACAAAAAATGAAACATATTGTCAAGTTTTTTTTAGGCGAAATATTAAAAGCAATAAAATGTTGTGTCGTTAATTTGACCTTCATCCGTCAAATTCAAGCGTTTGCCATTCAATTGAAATGGAAACAATACTTCACCATGCAAAAATTTACAGTAAATGAAGTTTGACATTACAATTTGAACCGTACACTTACTGTTTGACAGTCATAGTATGATAATATTATAATCAAGTGAACTAAATACTTGTGTTTTATTTATAATTTGTGTGTTTCTTGTCATACTTGTAAGATGGAAACAGGTATATTGACGTAGCGTGTTTCGAACATATGTTGAATTGGTATGATGCAAGACGAACGTGCAATCAATCTGGAAAATATCTTCAACTTTTGAACTACCAGTGTGGAAATATTGATGAGTTTCAAGCAGTTCAACTGTGGCACAATATGTTCATCAAAGAGAGGATTGATTGGAATACAGGTAAACTACCAATAAAAAAGCTGCGTTTCAATATTTAAACCTTTCAAGTTGTTTTATTCACATGTAAAAGGTTATATACGGCTTTTATTTATTGTTATGTGTACATAAAATAAGAAAACTTTCATACCATGCAAAATAAATATAACATTTACATAATTATATTATAGCTGATTTGGTGTTTTTATCTATACCTATTCAAAATGGAAGCTTCAAGCAATTAAAATCGGCAATTGGCAGTTTCAAAAATTGAAATAAATAGATTTCTAATTACCAATGAAAAAAACTCTTTGTCAACACCAAATGAGGTAGAAGTTAACAGGTACAGGAAACCGTACAGCCTTCATCAAGTAGCAAACCCATACCGCGTAGCCAGCTATAGGTGTAATACCACCAAATCATAGTACGTCGCATCCAGTTGCATACGAAAATAGGTCGAAAAGAAAAATATTCCCTTGAATTTGACAGTTGTAGGTAATTAATCCTACATTTCTTTGCAGGAAAACATTTCTGTGTCAAAAACATATATCTTGGGTATTTCAAAGCACCATTATTCTTTTTTTTTTTTTTTGGGGGGGGGGGGGGGGGGGGGGTTCTATAGAATATTTTGGAAACTTGAGGTAACATGGTTACTAAAGCTTGTACACATGTTAAAAAAAGGGGAAAATTTGATTGGTTAACTTCTTGTGATGGTTATTTTCTTATATGCAATGACATGTTATGTGAAACTTTTTCTATAGTACTGGACGGGATAAAACTTTACTCATGCCAAGTATTTTTTTATTTAAAAAAAAATATAAATTTTGCACATATTTTTGAAAAGTGCACATTTTACAAAGACTAATAGGGGAAAATCAATGGTGGTGTTACACCTATATAAGAAACGTATACATTTAAAACAGTTCAAACGAGAAAACTCATTGCACGATTTAAGTATAAACCAATACTAAAAAGTTGATAAATAGTATATTAAACTAAAAACAGCCATTGAACAACAAATTTAGGCCGAGCACATATAAAATATTATGGGGCTAAACAGGTCAGCAATATTTGTTTAAATATGCTAAGGGTTCGATTGAATTGCAATCAATATACATGTATTGTATACTTATAAGTATGTCGCTCTAATATTAAATCGTTTTTGATTCCCTGACCGATAATATAAAGGATCATGATACATTAAGTATACAAAAATTCCGATGGTGCTATAAATTAAATCTTAGGATATGTTAACAAAGATAATTTGAATTTTGCGAAGAATTTGAGTGATTTTGCAAATACAGTTTTGTCTGTGTATTCACATGATTTACTTCTGTGCATATAGTATGCTTACAGTCCGATCCGTATTCTAAGGTTACCTTATATAACATGCATGGTATCTTACAACATATATGTATGTTAACGGACTGGAAGACGCATTGTCTCTTATAGTCTATTTACTGGTGATTATCATAAAAGTGAACATGATTTCCATGTTAAAGGCCGTACTTTGACCTATAATGGTTTACCTTTTACACATTGTGATTTGTATGGAAAGTTTTCTCATTTACACTCTTATCTCGTCTTCTTATTTCCATCAATTGCCTTATATATATATATATGACGAATACTTACATCATTTTGTGATTACATGTCCTATGTATGCTTGTAATAAATCCATGCATTTTATTCCTGCTACTTGATGTTGTTTGTGATTCTTTAAAACATGTTGTGTGTGCCTACAAGAATGTATATCTTAAACTATTATCTCTGCATTTAGAACTGACAAGGATAGAAAAAATGGATACAAATGTTTAGCAATGAAGCTAACAACCGATTCGAATTACATTCTAATTGCTGAAAATTGTGACAATGCTTACCATTCTCTTTGTCAGAAAGACGTCTCCGGTAGTGTATCATTTATATCTATTTTGTTTATGTTTTGTTTTTGTTGTTAACAAAAAATCAGGGTATTGGTAACGATTTAAATATATAAAAGCATTAACATTTTAAAAGAGAAGCGACAGATACCACATGTACCAAAGGGACTTTGCAAGCAATAAGTCGAAAATAAACTGACCATGACATGGGAAAGTTTCACAAAAATTTTAATCTTGCTCTGTGTTTTTATGAAGTATTTCTAGTTTTCAAGAAATGGATAATCATATAACATGTATAATTTAATTTAGGTTTATTACTTTTCTGATTGGGTGAAAATGTTTTGTCTATCAGCTCATAGACATAATTCTGTCATGTGATCGTGACGTCACCAACGTTTTTTTTCAAAATTTACTCCTTTCAATTGGAATTTAAATTAAACCATAAGTATATATGACGAAATAGCCTACGCGGGTTTTTCAGTGTGCAATACATCTTTTATGTTATTTAGAAAGAAAATAAATTACAGTCATTCCTTAAATAAACATAATAGAAGAAACACTATATATGATTACAATCGTCAATGTTGGTGACACGTATTCTAGATACACGTGACATTCTGAATGTGAATCTAACAATAGGTATTGATTTATTCCTGTCTGAACAAGAAAATTAAAACTACGCCACATGTAAACAGTGTCTTTCAATCATGTAAAAATATAATAATAATGTATGTGTCAAAACAGAATTTAAAAAGGGAATAGCATTGAGTCAAAGTTTAACCTATTTTTGAATGAAAGGATATCACTGGGAAAGAAATTGGCCCTTAATAACAACATAAACAATATCAGTTTTACTTTTAACAAAAGAAACACTTTTCAAAGAGATTCATTCAAATGATCAATACGAACACGTAGTTCATACCTAAATTTACAGTCTCTGAAGAAAACCACTACCAAAACAAATAAAATGTGGTCTTGGTTGAAATAAAATTTCAACAGGACAGTCAAATTCCAAATCAATCTGTATTTATGAGATAAAACTCGAAGAGGTAACGACATTCGGACTGAACGTGGATTTGCATAACGAGTGATGCATGAAAAATCAGTACATTATGTGGTAAATTTTTTTTTGGATATCACCAATTGCACAAGTACGTTCAAAAGAAATTTCAAAGAAAATATAATATTTGACCATAAGTTATATTGCAAACTACGTAAAGTTGTTATTTATAGTATAGAATATGCAAAATCACATGTTTCTTCTGCAATTAAGTCGGCATACAGATGATATACCACCATACACGTCTATATCACGCACAGATCAATCAACTATATGTATGTTTTTAAGTTCTATATAGATAGATATAAGAAGATCAGGTATGAGTGCCAATGAGACAACTCTATATAAAGTCACAATTTATAAAAGTAAAACATTATTGGTCAAATTGCGGCTGACACCGAACAGCAAGCTATAAAGGGCCAGAATAGTGACTAGTGTAAAACCATTCAAACTGGAAGACCAACGGTCTAATTTATATAAAAAATTAGAAACGACAAACACTTATGAACCACATCAACGAACGACAACTACTGAACATCAGATTCCTGACTTATGACAGGTGCAAACAATTGCAGCGGGTTTAAACGTTTTAATAGGTACCGACCTAGCATGTTTCAAAAGATAAGATACCAAAGAGATCTTCAAATTCATCTTTCGAAGAAATGACCGGCAACAACATGGCAAAAAAGCGAGAAAAAAAAACAGTTACCAAACACAACATTGAAAACTAAACACTGATCGTGTGCTCTGAAGGGGGAAAGTAGATCATGTATCACCTGTGACATCTGTTGTATTGCTCACGTAAACATATGTGATTTTTTACAATTTTTGGCAAGACAAATCATAAATATCTTTAACTGTTTCGTATTGCAAATTAACTATGTGATTCAACAGCATCAAACAGTTTTTGACCAATTATACCCGTTATATGAGTTATATTAATAAACATATGATAAGTAAATCCATAATTTGTAGATACAGATGGCATCCCAAAAAAAAAGGAAAAAAAAACAGTGGATTCAAAAGGTAAATATATTATTAAATCATAATTATTGTAGACTAAAATTGGTTCCCTACTTTTTTAGTAATAAAGCAACGTGTACGCTGTATGTGTATGTCAATATTTAATGAAAACAAATTAATAAAAAACTAAGTTTTACTTTTTTTAAAGTTTTGTTTGCTTGTTAACTTAAAATGACAATGAATAATGCATTTATAAAGAATAAAATTCAATGCAGACGTTTTGCTAACATAGACAGAAACAACCTGAGATGATGAACCAAGTTTTTGTTTTGCGAGACTATCTACGACCTTTTCGGATTTAAGGCTGCAAACTGTATACTATTGGTTTACAAGGCTTCTGAAACGTATGGTATTGAATGCAGGTTCATTCTTTTATTTGTTTCTGTTCAATCACATCGATACAATATTTCTATATGATGATGACCCAATAAAAATTTAAAGAAAATGTATTGTTTATTTATACTGTTTAATTGCTATTTAACGTATATGATAACCAAAATTTGATATCTTATTTAGTTAGTATGTATGTTGGAATAGCAGTTTCACTGACAATATTGCTGATAGTAGTGGTGGTTCTAGCTATATGTATCCGAAGGTAAGATCGTTGTTGTCGCTTCAAATATTCTTGAACATACTCCAACAGTTTAGTTTATTTGATAATTCAGTAAATAAAATTGATAATGGAAGTAGGGAATTTGTCAAAGACACAAAAACCCGACCAAAAAGCAGAAAACAGCCCAAGGATACCAACGGGTCTTCTACACAGTGAAGTAATCCCGCACCCAGGGCCGTGCTACTGCTTGCTCTAAAGTTGCAAAATAAAATTTGATTCCATTTTAGTCCGAAGTAGGTGTTGATAGTGTGTATGCAATACATACATTTTCCAAATTTTAATTTGTCTCTGCATTGCATGTTAAATTCGAATGAAATTTCAATTTGAATGTTCCACCAAATAAAAAAAACAAGAAAACCTACTGAATTTCGTTTAAGAAATATAAAATTTCAAATATATTGTTTGTATCGTTTTGTCAATAATAACCTTTTCAAGTGTTAGTTCACGAGGTAAGCATTTTTAGGAAGGCATGTCACTGTCGTCTCTTCGAGTGTATTGTTCTGATCCCAAGTATACCACTGTTTGTTCTTACTCCATAATGTCGAAGAAATAAATTTCTTTACCAGATTTTTATTTTCATGAAGTGGATACTGCATATTTTAAAGGGATTGATTCTTTCACCGAACATCCCAACAAAATAAAGAAATGCTAAAAATGGCAAGCAGTGACGCTGGATTTCCCTTTCCGAGCACCTGATGTTTTTCATAGGGTTCGTGTCACTCATTACTAAATGTAACCTTTTGATATTTTTGTTTGTCTTTTCTTCGTTTTTCTTGAAAACCATCATTTTTTTCTGTATCATTCTTTGTCGAATTTTGAATTTTTCTGATTAATGGTTAAACGGTGGGTTACTTTGCAACAGATTTTTTCCGTTCTGCAAACCAAACTAAAAATAAATTTATTGTTTTACATGTTCCATCTTCTTTATTTTTAGCACATTGACTTTTGTGTGTTTTTATCCGAATGCTATTGAAATTCTACTGATTGTTCATATTCCCCTTTTAACGTAATCATCATTGTTATTGTTGTGTAAAAATATAGTTTTCATCAGTTTCAAAAATAAACAATCAACGGTAAATATTTAATCGTACTTTTTTGTGTTACGACACGGACAATGTTTATATCAGATATTCCGATATGTTCATATAAAATGTGTTACTTTACCTTCTATATTCGCAGAAAAACACGTTACATGCCAAAAGAGGTACCCACTGCACCTGATGTGTATTATTCAACAGTGACAGGCGACCAGATACATGAAAACCAATCTCATACACCGGATGGCGCGAACAAAGATCAAAGTGATGCAAATCTAATGATTTCGGCAAAACAAAGCAACACATACACAGATAATGATCAGCAGGAAATACACAAAATGGGATCAACATATGACCAAGCAGGGTTGCCTGATAGCAATGAGTATGATGTATCAAGTACGAGCCAGAAGTACAGGTCGCATGTTGATGAAGATGTCTGTTATTATGATCACAATAGAGATTTTGATACGGTGTATGATGAGACAGATACACATGGGTTATTTCAGAGAAACGAGATAAGTGAAATATATAACCATACTAGAGAAATTATTGATGATTATGATGTCTCCCACGCCTTTCGACAGCAAGGAGAGACTCATAATGAACCTGTGTATTTCAAATAGGATTTCTAATTCCATGACATCATTATTGAACCTGAATGTGACATTCACAGAATAAAACTATAACAGGTTTATGACGTGCATGATATAAATATATTTTTTTGTATTTTCCTAGCTTTTAAGAAAGTTGTGTTTGACCGTCTGTTGTTTTTGCATTTATAATTGCAAGGCACATTTCATTCTCATGTATAAACTATATCTATTAAGATCATAAGATAATAAACAATTGAGCTTTTTTCATAATTACTCTGGTCTGTATACTCTTCTTCCATGTTTATAATATATATGAAACGTTGTCAACACATGACATTTCATAACATAAAAAGTAATATAACAAAAATACCAAACTGCAAGGGAAATACAAAACCGAAAGTCCTTTATATAATGGCATAATAAAAAGCTCAAACACATCTAACAATTGAAAAAAAAACTGTTGGATTAAACCTGGTGTTATAGCTAGTTAAACCTCTCACTTTTATGACAGTCGCATTGAATTGCATTATATTGACAACAATGTTAGAGCATAAAATATAAAAACGTCAAAAAGAGGGTACAGCAGTCAACATTGTCATATAATCTTCAGCATTCTAAAAACAAACAACTTATTAAGAAGGGATATAGTTACGATACTGTTGTCAGGTCATTAACAATTGCATATTTTGGCTTTAATATTGATTCACTTATAGGGTCTTTGCATCGGAATTAAACAAATTTATTCTAAAACCAGTTGATGGCATGACACGGGTTATGTTCTTCTCTTATATTTTATGACGGTATAATACTAAACCCCTAACAGGAGGGATTGTGCCTGATATTCATATGATGAAGAAATAATCTTTCAATCAGTTTAATTGAGGTCTGGAGCTGGCATGTCAGTAACTGCTAGTAGTCTGTTGTTATTTATGTATTATTTTCATTTTGTTTATTTTCTTTTGTATCCTATTCTGACATCGGACTCGGACTTCTCTTATACTAAGTTTTACTGTGCGTACTGTTGTACGTTTGTTTTCTCTACATTGGCTAGAGGTATAGGGGGAGGGTTGAGATCTCAAAAAACATGTTTAACCCCGCCGCATTTTTGCGCCTGTCCCAAGTCAGGAGCCTCTGGCCTTTGTTAGTCTTGTATCATTTTTAATTTTAGTTTCCTGTGTATAATTTGGAGTTTAGTATGACGTCCATAATCACTGAACTAGTATACATATTTGTTTAGGGGCCAGCTGAAGGAGGCCTCCGGATGCGGGAGTTTCTTGCTGCATTGAAGACCCATTGGTGGCCTTCGGCTGTTGTCTGCTCTGTGGTCGGGTTGTTGTCTCTTTGACACATTCCCCATTTCCATTCTCAATTTTAACTATTTCAAAAAAGGAAACACAAAATGGCATTTAGACAAAGTACAGCGAAAAGCGATCGCGTATTGAACACAGTTCCATTCTCTGTTATTAATTCTAAGACTATGACTTCATGTACGTACCGTCAACTTGGATCAGCACTATTGTTTCATAGTTACAATCTTCTTATAAATCTAATAAGAAATATCCGAAATAATCATTGAACGCAAAATAGCACCCATTATGCATGAATCAACCGCAATATAAGTTCAGGATATATCATGAAAAGTAAAATAACACAATCGAAAAGAATGCGATGACAAGTCAGAAGTAACAAAGTGTACAACAGTTGCTGAGGATTCACAATAGCCTTAAAGATAATTGATTTATCTTTGACTCTATCTAAATCTTTAAAAAGTAATAAATCATTTTATTTTATCCGACAATGATTTCAAATTGTGGCTAAATGAGTTGTAAGACTAGAAAAATATATGCTTTTACATTAAATTTAAAAAATTACTTTTAGATAAAACACACGTTTTTTTTTAAATTTTTTTCCTTTAAGGAAAATATCCATTGCATGATATTATTAAAGAAGTTGTTTATATACAGTCACGTATAACTGACGCGACGTCTATGATTTAAATATTTATTTCAAAACCTGTCTTTTTTATCTTAAACAAACGTGTTTTCACATTTTATCAAACACGATATAAGATAAGGAACAACTAAACAAATATTAGCATGATAAAAATATTATGCGATTTCGTACAAGCATTAAAATAATCGTATATGGCGAACGTGGGTTATGGTTCTTTTCGCATGAAAGAATTAGCCTGAATTATCAAAATTGTCGCAAGTCATACAGGAATCTGATGTTCAGTAGTTGTCGTTTGGTGATGTGGTTCTTAAGTGTTTCTCGTTTCACGTTTTTTCTATAGATTAGACCGTTGGTTTTCCCGTTTGAATGTTTTTACACTAGTAATTTTGGGGCCCTTTATAGTTTGCTGTTCAATGTGAGCCAAAGGGCCGTGTTGAAGACCGTACTTTGACCTATAATGGTTTGCTTTTGTAGGTTGTGACTTGGATGGAGAGTTCTCTCATTGGCACTCATACCACATTTTCCTATATCTTTAACACGTAACAAAGATAAGAAATGTGTATCGTTACATTTGACATCAAAACACGTGTTAACAACACTGCATACAGAAAGTTACTAATCCAATTATTATAATCTATTCAATTTTCAACATTCAAAAACCATCTTCGTATCGGTTGTTTTTCTCTTTCACGTTTTTTTTTTTGCAAATAACAATTAAAACGAAAACAAAACATTGACAGCATAATTTTACAGTTGGTTCATGTATTGAATATAAATTCTCACTTTAAATTTCAAAATCAGAAAATTGAACACATAAATTTTTCAAATCAATTTTACTTAACATATAGTATAACACATGCAATTATTTGATATTCAATTGGAAAATGAATATTTTCCTGGATGTTGTTAGCAGTTACTGTTTACACTATGCAATGTCAAAGTCAAAATAGATATGAACGAATGTCCGACATTAACTTTTTTCAAGCATCTAATATGCCAGTATAGATAAGATACGTCGTTGGTATAATGGGCCAAAAGAGTTACACATACAGTAAGTCATGTGTATAATAGATTTGAAGATGTTGAATGGAATATGGTTTTACTCGAGTTACAGTGTAGATAAAGTTTCTACTGGTATACTGGATATAAAATTGAGAATGGAAGCGGGGAATGTTTCATCGAGAAAACAACCCGACCAAAGAGCATAAAACAACACAAGGCCCCCGATGGGTCTTCAACGTAGCGAGTAACTCCCCCATTTGGAGGCGGGCTTTAGCTGACCCTTACACAAATGTGTACAAGTGCAGAGAAAATGAACGTCACACTCAACTCGTAAATAAAACAATGCACGTATTTCCAATTGAAAGGATCAACGATTGGCGTCCAGAAGATGCACCAACACAAAATAATTGAATCAAGTAAAAAGATAAAACTGCTCAGATAAAAACATCAAACTCTATTCGTCATCAAGTACTCGACACAATACGTCAACTTCAAAACCAGAGGACAAAACAATAGACAGAGTATATCAGGGTACCGCCTGACATCTGACTAAATAGAAAAATAGATCTGAATAGTGAAATATGAGTTTTAGATAAATATTACTAAAGTTACGAAAATTAGAAAGTATTTGCACAGACAAACATTACTTATCGTATATTTTAAGAGCATATACCAGAAGCATGGGGAGGTACTCATTTGAAACATTTGTCATCACCACTTGTATAGTGAAATGTCAGATACGCCGATTTAAAACACTATGTACTATTCAGGTTTCTCATTTTTACATTCTTTTAGTTAGTCCTTTCAGTAGTTCTAGTCGAGTCCAAAACTTTAGAATTAAAATATTGCTGGACTTTTATTTGAATTTTAGTTAAAAAGAAAGAAAATAACAATTTATACAATCATTTAGTTCGATATATTAGCTCGATTTGATTAGGAACGTTCAAATCAGCATATTTGAAAGCTAATGGTTAAGAAATAAATTATACAGTGAGAAGAAAATTATTGAACGGGCCCTTAAGGTGGTTCACCCCTATAAGGACCCCCGGTAGAAATTTTTTATTTCACATATTTTGTAGATTTTTTTATGCTAAATCCAAAAATGCAAAGAAAAAAGGGGGTCACCAGGCTCGTTTTCCCCTCAAATGGAAGCGAAATGTGCGATTTTGACCCTATTTCCAAACTTTTCCACCCTTTCAACAATAACGACTACATCAAATTCAACGACTTTTAGAACCATGTCAGTATGATTATTATGTGAAAAAACAATTAAATTTGAAATATTAACGTTTCCCTTGGTTGATTTAGACTTAAAAATCCTTTCATTTTCAGATTTATGTCTAAATTTTGCATTTTCTAATTTTAGTCTAAGGCTAAAAATATTGGTTAAATCGATTTTTCGTAAAATTTCCCCTGTAGATTTTTTTTAAAAACGGATATGTCAAAGCTATGAACTTTTCGAGCATTTTAAGGTAAAATAAAATGTGGGTCACCAGACTTTTAAAAAAGTTACGAGCTTTTGGTTAACCCCTCTACCCCATGAGGTCTGATTTCAATGCACTCCATTTATTACTTTCTAGTGAATTTTTTATTGATGTCTTTAATAAAATAATGTTTGTAATTATATCAAGGGACGATAGCTGAACATGTGAATATTAATGTGATTAACATTTTACTGTTGGTTAAAAAAAATCGAAATTTTTATTATTTTGGTGAAATACGGTAATTTTGTCGGGCGCGAGTTGCTTCCCTCTAATTTGGCGCCATAATCGGACAACACAAATTTCAGGGTCTCCATTGTTGAGCAGCATACTGCACTGATAAATACGACCATGTACATAATTAACAGACATAGTGGCGAATAGACAACGATGAAGGTAGAGTCATTACATAAGAAAACATAGATTTTAATATATTAGACAGCCAAATGTTATCAGTATCACGTAAAATACAAAGTGGGGGGTTATCTCAAAATACTCGCTACTGACGTACTGTAGGAAATCACTGCGGCTGAAATCTTGCATGGGCTAAATTTCTGTTCTATGTATAATCGTTATGGCTGGTATCTTATTTATGTGTTTATTTGACCCTTAACTGGCAAGTGAACATGTATATATATAGCCTGTTTTGAACAAATATCCGTGTCAAACAGTCAAAGAGGAGGGGATGGTCATTTTCAGCATCAACAATGTCCTTTAATGCGCTACCGTTAGCGTCAAATGAGTCTTGATTTTATATCGTCATTCGTAAAATCTAATTTCGTAGCCACGTTAGGGTCACATGGAGTAAAATATTTTTCGTTAACGT